ACGGTCTAGGGGCAAAATAGCCCCCCCCCCCCCGGCCCCACTGTCAATTGGTGTGATTTCCACACTTGCATTGAGATTAGGTACATGAGAGTAAATACTAACGATGGAGTCGAGGGTGAGTTTTCTGGATTTTTTCCCTCCGGGCATCTGGTTAGTTATACTCTCCATCCTGATGGGAGGGTAAAGTTTAATAGAGATTCTTTCTTCGCATCTTAGTTTGAGCTCTGCTAGCTTTCTTACACAAGTGCGAGTGCCCTTCGTTTCATTTCCTGGGGGTTGTGGTCTTAGTTTATTGCAGCAAAAACGACACAAAGTTTTCTTTTTAGCCTTGAAGGTGCCACAAGACTGCTGAATTGGTTCCAGGAATCCTGCCCCCTCCAATGCTTCTTTCCGGGCACGTCTCTTCCCTTTCCTTTGATACAGCGCGGTGCCTTGAAATGTTTCCATTTGGAACCGACCTTTGTCTGTGTATGGAGCCTCAGAGCTGACATTTCTGCCCCGCTGAATTCTGACACGGAACAGAGATTCGTGGGGTACTTTCAACACGAATCCAAATTGGGTCCTGTGGCTCGAGGTGGTTCGCGATCCGGAGGCCATTTTTCTGTGGCCTGTAATTCCGGGCTGGCCTTCATATGAAAATCCCACAGCTATTTTTTGCAAAAAGATCTCCCGCAGAGCAGAGGCCAACCCGGGTCATTCCCGGTTTTCTCTCTATTCCTGGCCACAAAGGGGCTCTTGTAAAACTCGTGGGCTAGCCGAAGCAATCTGCCTTCGTTCTGACAAGAGATCACTGGCAGACCCCTGGGGCACGAAGGGGCGCTGAAAAAGATTGAGGCTTGCCAATCACAGCTGAAATAATTAAACCAATTAAGTCAACACAAACAGAAACAAGATGGAAGAGAGAGAGGATCCTGTGGCGGGAGGGGGGGGCGGGGGAGGGGATGGAGGCGGCCGGGTCCCCCTGCCCCTCCTGCAGCTGCGTTCCCCCCCAGCGACCTGCCGCGGGAGGGGAGGAAATTGACCTCAGTCCGCTGACTTAACAACGGTCATCACAGCCGTAAATCCGTATAGGTGGGGTGGCTTGATCTGAAATATTTTCCCCTGCCGGGGAATTAGTGGGAAAGGAGATGATGGGGCAGCTGAGGACAGCAAGAGGCTGGGGGGGGGGGGCGCACAGAAGTCATTCACTCATTCATTCACCCTGTCGAGGATCCCTCGACTGGCACTCGATTTGAGTGACAGCAGATCTCTCTCTCCTCCCTGCCCCACCTCTTCCTTAATGGGGCGGGGAGAAGCAGAATGATGCCTTCTTTACACCCTCCCTTTCTGTAGACTAACTTTTTCAGTTCTCCCTGAGAGGGCCAAGAAAACCAGTACCGTTCGTGGCCGCTTCCCTCCGGCCCATAGGTGTAGTAAATAGCTTCGCAAGAGCCGTCCCGTTTTTTCCCACGGCTGCAGTTTTCAGTGCGTCCTAAAACCTTTATTAAAAAGCGAGATTTTCTTTCCCCTCTATTTCCCAGAAATGGAATATTCACTCTTTGTGTATTAAAATGAATTATCTGGTGCCGCAGAGCTGTGTTAAACAGCACAAACAATTAGAGATGGGATTCTCTCGCGCGCTCTCTAGTATTTCTAATCAAATGTAAAATAGACGGCAATAAATGCAAGCATGGATTTGTTGGCTGAAAACCGGGCGATTCCCAATCCAACTTTCCCGGCTGTTTTTCAACTTGGCCCCCAGCTTTCTGGGGCTTTGTAATGATTTGATGTGCAGATGTAAGTGAAATTTATTGTAACAACAAATATAGGGATGTCAAAGCCCAGCTCTGGATTAAAGCAGGCAGCCAAAGGGGGGAAGTGTATTAATTTCAAACAGCATCAGAGGCCAGTGTCTATTAGCGCGAGCTATTCTTCAGGCCCCCCCATCAGAATTAATCATTGGGAGTTAATTTGAAGCGCAGACAAGTTGCTGTTAATTTAGTGCGGGGAGGCTGGGATGGAATACAAAGCTGAGGTGCTGGCCAAGCCTCTTGGGTCTCATTAATCAGCGAGCTGAGACGGCCTGGCTTGATTACAATTTGCAAAAAAATTCATTAGAGCCTGGGCGATTGACAATTTTTCTCTCTGCCTGTGATCTGACTCATTAGGCAGCCAAATGAAAGCCATGATGGTGATGATGACAGCTATCAACCCCCCTCGCTTGTTTATCTTCTTGGCTTCTGCCGCTGCCGTGGTGGCTCCCACTCCGGGGCTTTTCCTGACCCTGCCTGGATGGCGCCCGCCGCGCCCTGCCCGGTCCGTTCAGATTATTGTCTGAGGAGGGAAAGGGCCCCCCTCGCACACGCGCGCACTGGCTTCCTTCCTTCCTCCCTCGCCATTTTGGTGGGAAACGGAGCTCCTTTCTTGCCTTGGGGTGCGTGGGTGCGTGTCTGTGTGTAGACGGCGGCTGCCCGTACCTTTTGCAAATGGAAAGCGTTCAGGACGTTTGGGGAGCGCTGCTTCCGATCAAGAGACGTCCAAAACAGACGCGGGGATCCGACCAGTCGCCCTACACGCCTGGAAGTATATTTGCTTGCTTCTTGGCATAAAACAAAGCCTCTGGGGTGAAGTTTAACACTGGGCTCTGCACGCTCCCGCATGCGGCGGTCCCCACTCGCTACCCAGCATAAAATGTGCTGACTAGTGTGGGGATTCCCTCTCGCACTGCGCAATCAGTTGCCGTCCTTATACAATCAGGCGTGTGTGAAACGTGCGCAAGTGTCGACTGGACCTCTGGAATCCTGGCCAGGTGAGGGCCCAGAAGCAAGCCGGCCCCCAAACGCCGGGCCCGCACAGACCCCCTGCACTGGGCATTTTGAGACGAGCGCCAACCAGCCCGCTGCGACACGCGGATGTGCCCCGGCGGAAATGCCTTCTGTCCCTCTGGAGGCGAAGCCCTCTCCAGTTCCGCCTGGGTCGGCCTGGGCCGTCTGCACATGCCCGAGCTCAAGGATAGCAGCTGGGACCTTTTCTGTCACATCACATCCCTTAGAAAACCAGAAGTATATGTACATATGTACATAAAAATAAAGGCTGTATAGCAGGCTCCGAAGAAACCATGGCTCTTCTTGTTATTTATTACTTATTTTTATTCTTACTATTTCTGCCACTACCAAAAAGCATCTGCGAGGATGCTTTTCACTGCCCCTGCGGTGCGATGCGGTGCCATGCTATGGACTCCGTCGCCCGCAATTCGGGGCCTTGCAAAATGATTTAGTGTAACGGATAAATTTATGTCAATATTGGGTTTGGCCTCCTGCAGCACTTGATATTCTGACTGCAGCTTAAACTCGACCCTGACTGCTCTCCGCAGGCTCTCAGCGGAGGCTACTTTAGATCGCTGCGGAATTTCCCCCCACGGGCATCGTAGAGGGGACCTGGAGCCACGTTTAACTGGAGCCTCGCGCACTCATGTGGGGGTCGCGGCGTTTCTAAATCTGAAGCCTACTGTTACGGTTTGCACCATCCTTAGCTCGCAGAGAGGCCGTGGGAACGCTTTTGGGCGCTCCGTCACCCACCCCCTAGTTAAGATAACGGGGACTTATTGCTTCGAGTTTGGGACGGGGACTTTTGTTCTCCTGCAAAATACCCCGGAGTCTCTCCATCCGATCCTGAGAGTTGCTGGACCACCTCCCCAAGAGAGGGCGGGCTCTGCTTTCTGACTCATCCGCAGCGGCGGAAGCGAAGTGCGCTCTTCAGCCGGCCGTGCGCGAACGGAGCGGGCGGGGGCCAAGCGGAATTGGGGGGCGGGGGCGGCTTGGCTGCGTGCACGGCTTCGCGCGGAGCCCCACTTGTGGCTCGGCCCCCTCGCCCGCCCGCCCGCCTGCACTTGCGGACGCGGCGCCGGGCGCCCCGAGTCACCGGCGAGCCTGACCTGGCGCCTGCCTGCAACCAAGGACGGCCTCTCCCCTCCCTCGCCAGTCCCCTTCCGTTAGGATGGATCGCAGCGTCCGGCGAGCGAGTCGTTTCAAATTCCCTTGCCCGAAATTAGATCGGAGCAATAAATTTCCTGGCGCTCAGAGCTGGCGAGGTCGAATCCTCCCCGCGTTTCTCGGTGGCCGAGTTCTCGGAGCGGGAGAAAGCGCTTCCTGGTGCCGGGAAGCGCGCCGCCTGCCTCTTTCCAGGGGCCTCCTCGGAACAGGCCTCCAGGCTCGGGCTTCGCACGGGCCCGGCGTGAGCCGCGGTCCCGCAGCCCTCGCGGTGCCCGCGCCGCTGAGGCCGCGCTCGGGGGGCGCGGGCGGGGGCGGCGCAGCCGGCGCCCCTCTCGGAGCCCGCGGCACGAGCCCGGCGGCCGGCTTCCCGCCGCGGGCGCACGCAGCTCACCTGAGCCGGCCGCGCCAGCTCCTCGGCGTCGGCCCCGGCCCCGCGGAGGCGCGCACTCGCCCGGCCGGGCTCTCCTCCCCGCCTCTTCCCGCCGCCGGAGTCCAGGTGCCGAGCCCTGCGCGCCGGGGCTCTGCCTCCCCTGCACGGCTACGGGCTGTGAGCTCTGCCTGTTTGGGAGCGTCCGAGAGGAAGCCCTTCGCAAGCTGCCTCCAGCCCAGGCCGCTCGCAGTTTGCATAGAACAGCCGCTGACGCGTCTCACTTTTTCGTTCTTTTCTCTTTCGGGTTTTTATTCACAACATTACTGTGTATCATTTCGTTTTTATAACTTAAGAAAAGAAGTAAACTACATTTGAATAAATTAATTCCACACAATAGGAGAAAAAAAAAGTCGTGCATTTCAAAAACAAAGAGTGGTTTAGGATGAACAACCAAATCAACAGAAGGCCAGGCCTTTTTAAAAAATGAGGTGGGGGAGGCAGATACACCTGAAGAATGTTTCCTTTACTCAGCCACACATACCCCTGGGAGTAGGAGGAGGAAGAGAGGGAGAGGGAAAGAAAACGAAGACGGAAGCAGCAGCAAAGAATGTCATCAGGTAGTTTTCTTTTCTCTCCCTCTCTCCCTCTCCCCGCTCCCTCCCTCAAAAGAAATTGTCAAAAAGCAACCCGAAAAAATGGAACAGCAGACTTGGGGGAGGCGATTGAAATGTGCTGCAGTTCTTGGTTCTTAGATGTACTTCTGGAATGTAAGACGTCAGGTCACTGCTCATTTGGTCCTGTCACAGTCAAAATGCTGCGGCTGAGATCCAGCGCTTTATATACAAAGTTTGGGCAGTCTAATAAATATGTAAATAGTCTCTTCCAGGCTGTTGGCATTCCCGCTCTGAAACATAAACCCTGACTGAGGGTTTACGAACACATTCTGGCTTTGCTCTGCTATGGAAGTTCGGCACCACTTTGAGAATGGCAGGGAGACAGAGATGGCACACAGACCCTGATTTGCTGGGGCAGGTGGCAGACCTTCCTTTTTGTTGATCCAAACTTTTGTGCAGGGTGCAGTGGCCAGAAAGCGGATTGTCTGCCACAATGCTCAGGGCCTGGCCTGTTCCAGTTGCTGATGTTGACTCCTGATGGCGAACCTGCTGACATGAACGGGGATGGGCACCACGATCTTGGGGTTGCGGGAGGGCTCCCCGGTCTTGGAGTTGGCGTTGCCTGCTTTCACTCGTTTCCATTTGGCTCGCCGGTTCTGGAACCAGATTTTGACCTGCACTTCGCTGAGTTTGAGGGCATGCGCGATCTGGGAGCGCTCGGTGAGAGAAAGGTATTTCTTGCAGTGGAACTCCTTCTCCAGCTCCAGCAGCTGCTCGCTGGTGAAGGCCGTTCGCCGCCGCCTGTTCTTCCCTGTTGAGGTGGTGCTGTTGGGGTTGGCCGAGCTCTGACTGCTCTCCTCCAGTCCATTGCTTGAGTCATCCTCTTTGTGAGCCGGTTGGCCCGGCAGATTGTCATCGGAGCTGTAGTCGAGGTCGCTGTCCATCGAGAAGCTTTCTTCTTTGCTTTTTGCCTCGTCTTCCGCTTTGGCGTCCTCTTTGCCCGGCAGTCCTCGAACGGCCCCTGAAGGAAAGCCAAAGAGAGCATCTTCTGTTACTTTTCACACCCACAGCAAAGCAGAGCTGGGATTTTGCCCCCGTACTTTCGGGGGCGGGGAGGCTTCCGATGGAGAGAATAGAATCGGAACTTGCATGCATGCACATAACGCTGGGGATGAGTGGAGAAGAGGTACCTGCTCTTGGTGTGGAGGAAACTTTTCCTAAGCAACTGGGGAAAAGGAGTGTTCGGCGGGTTTTGGAGCGTGTGTGCAAAGCCTTGGCCAAAGCCCTGTGCATCGCAAGGACTGCCAGCGTAAGGTTCCATGGCCAGAGCCCCTGTGCCAGGGCTTTGAAATGGGCTCCCTGCCACGGAAGCACATACAGCTGCAACCCGAGTCTCTACCAAGCCGAAATACTTTTTCCTGTTGTAGTGCGTTGTACTGCAGTGCGCTGCGTGTGTGTGCTGATGTGCTTTGTGCCCCGGCTCGCCAAATGGGCAGCAGGAGCCTCCTGTTTCCGCATGCGAAGCGGAAGGCGAGCAGGGCCTGGAGATCCTCCCGGATGCTACCGTGTTTCCCAGTGAAAGAAGAGACACTTCATCTTCCTAAGCGGGGCCTCAGGAGGGCAACACGCCCAGAAGGGGTGTCAGATCCATCCTCTTTGGAGAGGTTACTCTAAGTAATTCGTTGTGAACGACCCAAGCTTCTTCACAAGCACTTTCTAATTGCAAGCAGAGTCGATTAGGAGGGGTGCTGCCTCTTCCCTGCTCTTCCGCTTAACATCACCTCCCCCTGCTCCCTGCCCTCTCCCTCGCCCCCACCTCCATCCCCTGCCCAGCAACTCCACCAACTCCTGTGTGAACGGTCATTTACGCAAGACATGCCAAATTCTGACAACACTCTGGACCGAAATGTTTCCCTCGAGAAAAGAGCAACGTTCCTGCTTTCGGAACCGTTCCCAGTGGCATTCAGAATTTAATTACAACGAACACAGAAAAGAGAGCATAGGAGGCTTCAGCTGCCTAGTGTAGCTGCTGAAGTTTCAGTTTGGTGCTGTTGTAAAAAGCAGCCGCCGTCGGCACTGATGCGACCAGGCGTGTTCGAAGTGTCCCCTCTCTTTCCCGGGCATCTTTGTGAGCAGAATCCCCCCTCCTCTGTAACCCCGAAACCCACCAACTGCCCAGGAAACGGTCCTCCCCTGCGCCTTGCCTTCCTCAGCCAGACTAGCCTCGTGAGCAGAAGGGCAGCGGCCTGCTAACTTCACTCGAGAGGTGCTCTTTCAACTGATTTACTCACCGAGGGACGCCTGCACCGTCTCAGAGGCAGAGAAGGCCAGCAGCGAGCTCTCCTTGGCCAGGAATGCCTTGCCGTCTTCGGCCTCTGACTGGATGCTGTCCGCCTTGTCGAAGCTGCCCTGGAGAGGCTGCGGGGCAAACTTTCTGGCCGCCTCCTGGTGCTGCGCGGAGGCCGAGAAGGTCCCCGGTAGGGTGGCCATGAGGGTGGAGGTGAGCGCCATGCCCTGCGCCAGGCTAGAGCAGAAGCTGGTGGGCAGGCTGGGGATCTGGTGGTGGTGAGGGTGGGAGGGCGGCAGCGCCGGCTGGGGCAAGGCGGGCGGCGGCGGCGGCGGAGGTGGCGGCGGCGGCGGCAGCACCACCGGCCTGTAGGGCATGAACATGGGATAGCCCGTGTAGACGAAGTGGCCCGGGCTGGGCTGGGGCGGGCTGCCAATGAGCGAGTCTATGCTGAAGGCAGTGCTGCTTCCCAAAGGGCGCGGCATCATCATGAGCGACGGCTGGAAAGCTGCACTCATAGAGGCGCTGCTGGCCGCGGGCGCGCGCAAGACGAGAAGCTGGACGGGGCGGCGGGGCGGCTTCAGGGCCGGGCGCCGGCCGGGGGCGCAGAGGGGCAGCGGCGCGCGCGAGGGGCGGCCGGGGCTCGGCCGCGGGCGGTCAGCGCGGGCTCTCCCTGGCCGCGGCCGGGAGACATCGGGGCGGGCTGCCCGGCGCTCGGATCGTCTCCTCGAGAGGGCCTTCCCGCCGGCGCGCTGCTTCGTCGTCGCCCGCCCGCCCGGCCGCCCGCCGCACCGCCGCCGCGTCCCCTCCGAGAGGCGCTGCCCGGTCTGCCTCCCGTCCTCCCTCTTTCCCTCCCGGGTGCCGACCGTACCTTTGAATCGCGCTCTTCTTTCTCATTCACATTTTGCCATCCGTGGAACCTTCCCGGGCCCACGTGAGCGCCTTCCTGCCTCGCCATTGGCCGGCGAGCGCGGGGGAGCTGGAGGGGAGGGGCTGCCTGGCGGAGTGCGCCGAAGACGCCGCCGCCGCCGCCGCCGCCGCAGCAGCAGCAGCGCGCGCCCCGCCCCGCCCCCCTCCCCGCCCCTCCCCCTCCGCCCCGGGCGCGTCACGCGGCGCGGCCTCTTCGGCGAACTTGGCGCAAAGCGCTCCGCGCGGCGGGGCGCACGCACGGGGCTCCGTGGCCCACCCGGCGGCGCTCCCGGGCGCCCGTTGGACCCGGCCCCGCGGCGCTGCCCAGGAGCCCCTCGAGACGCGGGCGCTGCAGCAGCCCGCCCCGTGCCAAGCCGCTCGGGGCGCCATAGACGCCCCGGCGGCCCTGCGCTCCCTCCCGCGCGCGCACGGAGGGGAGGCGCCGTGCCCGGGACCTGTCCCTGCGCTGCCCGCCGTCTCCCCGCCGCCGGCCGGGCGCAGGCCAAGCGTCATCTCGGGCAGGCGGCCTCTCCTCTGGGAGGGGGGAGCAGGTGGGCGCGCGGAGGTGGCCCGCCGCGCAGCACCTCGCTGGACACCCTCAGGCCGCCCCGTCAGGCTCGTCCTGCTGCGCGCGTTTTTCTTTCTTTGGGGCGATCGTAGCCCCGGTGGCGGTGGCGATAGCTAGGCGAGGGACATCTTCGCGCGAATGGCAGGGGTGGCTGTGGGAGCCACGGGAAGCAGCCGAGGTGCATCCCACTGGGCAAGCCCTGAACGGGCTCTCCGCCAGTGTCACGCTGCGGCTGGCTCAGTCGTCGAAAGTGCCCCGTGGGGGTGCGACAGCGCCGTCCGTTGCCCTTCCTCGCTCCGGGAGCACCTCCTGCACCCGGGCCCCTTTCCAGGTCCTCTCTGCCGCAGACCCGCTCGGGTCCCGTCGCAGCAGCCAACTTTCACCGCCTGTTCCCACGGAAAGTCGGGCCTGCCGTTCTAGCAGGCGCATCGGCCGGGCTCGGGGGCGCGGAACTTGCCGAAGCAGTTCGACCCACAAACAGCCATTCCCACATAAAGGAAGCACTGCTTGATCTTTGCCCAGCTGCCTCCTGTTCCTCCGATTTGGTTACGAAGAGAAAAGCCCGGCGGCCCCTTTACGAACTGCGAACCGACGTCGAGAAACGGCCTTTCGGAGACAAAAAGTTTGAGGGTCGTGTGCGGGCACTGTGGCTTCTAGCTGCGGCTTCCCTCTCGTGGGGAGAAAGGCACGCGAGCAGGGATCCGTCGAACCCGATCCTGCTATTCCGCTCCAGATTTAACGACCGCAGCTGGATAGAATCTCTTTTGGAGGCCGCTAACAAGATAATGATCAGAGTGAAATGGGGCCGTTTCACGGGTAATGGGAATTTCTTTACATGCGTAGTTAATTGGAAAATAAAGACCGATCGATATTTATGAACGCATCGATCCAGCCCTTTGTAGGTCCAGCCCATCTCCCCCACCCGCGCCTCGGCACCAGCGTCATCCCCGCCCCGCAACAACGTCGCCCGCCCCATCCCACCGCGCCGCACCGCGCGGGTGCCGAGGCTCATCCTCAACGGCAGCCCGCAGCCGCTCTCAGGAGCCCGGGCCGCGGAAGCGGCGAGCGGAGAGCAGGTGCTCGGCCCAGAGGGCCCGTCTGCGCGGGGCGGGAGGGGGCTCTCCGCAGGCCCCTTTCCGCTCCACCTCCCGGCTCCGCAGTGGGGCCACCCTCATCCCCAGCGAAGTCAAGCGCTGCTCAGACGACGGGCAATTCCTCGGGGCGAGGATGACGAGGCGCTCGGAGGCCACGCACCTCCCGCTGGCCTCCCGCTTGTGCCTCCCGGTTGCCGGTCCTCCCGAGGAGGGGGTCGCGTGAGCTGCGTCTCTCGCTTGCCATTCCGGGGCGAGCCGCAGAGCGCTGGTCTGATGCAGCTGCTGGAGACCCCATCCGCTCGCCCTCCCCAGGAGGGCCGGGGCACGGCTTTTGTCATCGGAGGTTTAACTGCTCAGAAAACGAGGGGACCGGCGAGCTTGCCGTAAAAGGGCGATCCCAGCAGTGGTTTGTCATGATTAACCAAAATCGATCCCAGACACCTTAAAAACTATCCGCAGTGCGTTTAACGTTGGGGAACTGCAGCTAATAAAAACCCTCTCCCATTTCTCCGCGCACTCCCAGGAGAGATTTATGACCCGGGCTGGAGTGGGGCGGGGGGAGCGCAGGGGGGGAGGGAGGACGGACGGACGGACGGACCCGGCCTGTCCGTCTGTCTTGGGAAGCACCGGCGGGGAACCGGCGTCTACTTGCCGGTCCATTCGGACTGCTCGTCACGCTTTCCCGTGCAAGTTGGAGCCGGGGACGGGAAGCCGATTGGGAAGGGCTAACTTTTCCCGGCTCGGTCCCGAAGCCCCGGAGGCCACGGCCCGGAAGGTCCCTCTCGGCGCCAGGCAGGTGCAGCGGGCCGCTGACCGCGCCGCCGGGGAAGGGAGCGCGAGCGAGCGAGCGAGCGAGCGGGCTCCGGGCTGCCTGCGGCTTCCCCTCGGCTCGGCTCGGCTCGGCTCCAGCTGCGCGGACTCGGGCGGTTCCCGGGACCCCCCCCCCCGCTCCTTGGTGCCCTTTCCTGCGAGGCAGCTCCGCGCCTGTCCGGGGAGAGAAGGGGGGGGGGGCGGGAAGGAGGGCCTAGCTTCTCGGGTATTATTAATTAGCATTAATTGTCAGGCTGCTTAGAGTGGACGGATCGTTCCATCATTCAGGCAGCTCTTGGCTGCCGCCTCAGTGGTCTCGGCGCGGCTTTCTTTTGAGGACCCGGGCGAGGAAAGCTTTTCCCCGTCCAAGTTTCTCTGAAAGTGCCCAGGGTGAGTTTCACAAAGGGGTTCTTGTATAAAGCCCCCTCTCCAACCCATCAGATACACCAATTTGCGTGGAGTAAAAGGCGATGAAGCCATATCTTTTCTCTTTTTCCTCTCTCTTTTAAAGGCAAACTATTTTATTCACGCTTTAAAGGGAGGAGGGAGAGAGAGAGAAAGAAAATTCTGAAATTCCTCCAAATAGACTCTATGTGGGGAGCGTTAAGTGAAGTCAGCCCCCCCCCCCCGGCTTTGAAACGGCTTCTGCAATTATGTCAAAGAGTCATTCACCAACACGGCAGAATTTAAAGGGATCTAGCCTGCTCCCTTTTCACGGGCAGGCCTCTCATGTTTGGCTTTTCAAAGCCCTTCCAACACGATGTCTTTCTTGAGGACAAAAGGCAGGACAGGGGAAAAAAAACCTGGGGGGGGGGACTTGTAAATTGAACGTCAAGGGAACTTTTAAACAATTTAGAGCCCATAAATAATGATAAAGGGACCTGGCAAAAAGGCAAACCCATTCAATTAATAGAGATTCCCAAGCAAAGATCAAGTGGTTTATTAAAGAGTAATAAGAGAAATAAAAACGAGGGATTGATTTGCATTCTTGCAACTTGGAACCCTGTCTATATCTGTCTACACGCACACACCGCACACAAATAGATGCGAGCCTGTCGTGCCGGGAAAAGCTGTTTCTTTCTGTCCTGTTTGCGTTTAGGAATTTGTCACTTTGCACCCAATTAGATCCGTTTAAATCGCTGTCTTTAAACTTTCTGAGTTACAAATTGACTTTTAAACCTTCAGAATTACGTAGAGATTTTAGCACCGTCCTCCTCCTTTCCTCTTTAAGAAAGTTTTAAACCTCCATCTCTTTTCTTTCGTAATCTTCCTGCTTGATTTATTTATTGTGTGATTTTTTTTGTTTTTGTTTTTACTCATTTGAGATTCAGATTATTCAGGGGCTTTGATTCTTACTCCTTGACAAGACCCCCCCCCCCCCGCTTTAAATTTGAGCCGGGATTTCTTCTTTGGCATTTCGCTAATGGTTGGGGTGGAGTTGTCAGATAGCAGATTAGGGAGTGACCATTTCGAGCAATGGATCACTCTGCCTGGCTTGTCCCCTCCCCCTCTAGTTCTTTCCCCTTTTATTTTCTTTTCAAACGTGACTGACACATAACGATGATAATTTATAAAGCATCTCAAAGATGCAGGCGCTGTGCAAATAATGAAAAGATCTCTCCAATATGCACAACAGGAAAGGGTGCATAGTCGGATGAATGGTTTGCAGCAAAATGTAAAGGGGAGCGTTCGAGATCTGGGTCTGAATGGAAACCTCCCGCCCTCCCAAAAAGCCCGTAGGACCCCCGCTACCTGCCCTACGAGCTACAACCGACTGAAACTTTTTGGCCTGTGGGAGTGAGCAAGGCAGCGGGGGGCTGGGGTGACTTCAGACGCGAACCAGATGGGTTTGGCCCGGGAAGCCTCTTTCCTCTCTCGGGACAGCGCTGTGGAAGAAATGGAAAGATGGTGGAGCAGAAGAAGCGGGGACAGAGTGTATAAAATGGGGGTCCTCTTGAGGGTAAAACTGCCTGTTCGTTCAAAGAGGGCGCAAGGCGGTTCCAAGCACAGAGGCAAGAAAGGCAGAAAGTCCAGGGCATCTGAATGTCTCGAAGAAGTAACGGCTGCATTCACTTTTCAGGCCGTGCCGGAGACCCACGGACTGATTGGCTGGATTTGTACCCGTCTTTCCAACAGG